AACACTAGGTCCATTGTTACTCCAATCTCCACACAGCCATCACATGTCATTGACATACCCAGACCAGCTGCAGGGAGTTTATGAAAAACACATAAATGTCGCTGCTCTGTATTAACCCTTCAACTGGTTCTCAATCCATAAACATTTTAAGCCATATAGGTGTTTAATTCTACAACATATGTACTTGAAAATCATCCATACCCTCAGAACAGCCTCAATTCGTCAGGTCATGGACTCTACAAGGTGTTGAAAGCATTCCACAGGGATGCTGGCCCATGTTGACACCAATGTTTCCCACAGTCGTGTCAAGTTGGCTGGATATCCTTTGGGTGGTGGACCATTCTTGATACACACGGGAAATTGTTGAGCGTGAAATACCCAGCAGCGTTGCAGTTCTTGACACAAACAGGTGCGCCTGGAACCTACTTCCATACCCTGTTCAAAGGCACTCAATTGTCTTGCCCATTCACCCTCTGAATGGCACACATACACTACCGGTCAAAAGTTTTAGTACACCTACTCATTCAAGGGTTTTTCTTTATTTTTACTATTTTCTACATTGTAGCATATTAGCAAAGACATCAAAACTATGAAATAACACCTATGGAATCATGTAGTAACCAAAAAAGTGTTAAACAAATCCAAAATATATTTTATATTTGAGATTCTTCAAATAGCCACCCTTTGCCTTGATGACAGCTTTGCACACTCTTGGCATTCTCTCAACCAGCTTCATGAGGTAGTCACCTGGAATGCATTTCAATTAACAGGTGTGACTTCTTAAAAGTCAATTTGTGGAATGCGTTTGAGCCAATCAGTTGTGTTGTGACAAGATGGGGGGGTATACAGAAGATAGCCCTATTTGGTAAAATACCAAGTTCATATTATGGCAAGAACAGCTCAAATAAGCAAAGAGAAACAACAGTCCATCATTACTTTAAGACATGAAGGTCAGTCAATACGGAAAATTTCAAGAACTTTTAAAGTTTCTTCAAGTGCAGTTGCAAAAACCATCAAGCGCTATGATGAAACTGGCTCTCATGAGGACCGCCACTGGAATGGAAGACCCAGAGTTAACTCTGCTGCAGAGGATAAGTTCATTAGAGTTACCAGCCTCAGAAATTGCAGCCCAAATAAAAGCTTCACAGAGTTCAAGTAAAAGACACATCTCAACATCAACTGTTCAGAGGAGACTGTGTGAATCAGGCCTTCATGGTCGAATTGCTGCAAAGAAACCACTGCTAAAGGACACCAATAAGAAGAAGACACTTGCTTGGGCCAAGAAACACAAGCAATGGACATTAGACCGGTGGAAATGTGTCCTTTGATCTGGAGTCCAAATTTGAGATTTTTGGTTGCAACCGCCGTGTCTTTGTGAGACGCGGTGTGGGTGAACGGATGAGAGCGAGAGAGAAGGAGAGAGAGAGACGAGAGAGAGACGGAGAAAGAAGTTAATGAACAACACAGACCAACAGTAGATCACCCGCTGGGTGTCAACGATCAGTAGATTCAACATGTAGAATCATCGGCATGGTCTGTCCTTAACACACTGTGACTGAGAGAGGCCAATATGATAGGAATAACATTCAATAGCTGTTAACCTGAAATCCCAAAAGGTTTCTGCTGTTTTATATTCAGATAAGGGACAGCAGCTCTCAAACAGATTTGCTCTCTCTGAGTCTCATTCTGCCGTCTGAGATAGCTGTAGGGTGGTGTATTTGCTTGTGTGTGTGTGTGTGTGTGTGTGTGTGTGTGTGTGTGTGTGTGTGTGTGTGTACGGTGGCTAATAGAAACTGTGGTCACTTACACATAGGTGACAGACCGAGGTTCAACTACTCCTATGAACAGAGAAAGTGAAATGTTACTCATTCATTACTGCTGCAGTGCTTGTTGTACTGCTGAGTGGAAATAGGAAGAACATGCATTTTATAAAAGTGTTGAAAACAAAGTGTTGACAGTGCTGAGTAAGAACTTAAACATCAATTCACTCATAAAAACAGCATCTCTTTGCTTTATTCATTGACAGTCTCTCTCTAGTCATGGTTTTACACGTTTTGAAATTTCACAGTATTAACTTTGCTGTAGCTTTCTTTTATGCCTGCTACGTTACTGCATACACGGTCATCTGAGCCATTCGATTGGCCAGCGGTAGGATATATAGTGCACTCGATTTCCTCTCTGGGCCCGCCGTGAAGGAAGAGTTTGTACCTTCAGACACATGAAATAGTTCAAAATGGCATCAGTTCGGCTACCCGGCGCGCAGGGCAGCTGAATCAGGTGCACCTACCGTTAACAGCCAGAGACTAATACAAAACATAGGAACACAAGACTATATCGTTGGGTATATTACAGAAATGTTTGGCGATCGACTAGGAATGCCTTGGAGATCGACCAGTAGATCTTAATTGACTGGTTGGTGACCACTGCTCTAGAAAGTTGAGTGAAATTCAATCTTGTGCTTCTCTCTGTGGGCTGATATTTCTGCGCAGCAGTCCCGGGGGAGCTGCGCGGCAGTCTCTGGGCTAGGTTTAGAGGGAACATTGATCATGTTTATGAGTTCTGTTTATTATTGGAATGGCTTTACATTGTCTCTATGCTTTGTATTGTATGTAGTGTATGTTCACCCTAGCTGCACAATAATACCTTTATTACAGACAATAAAATGTAACCTAATTGATTCATGTATTGATTCATGTTAACTACAACATTAATTCATGTAATTAAAGCAATGTCAAGTATACGGTAACTTCTCTCAGGAACTTGTTTATCACTGTGGAAGGGAGAGAAATCTGACACAATTTCACTCCATTTTAAGACTGTCATGAGTATTAAACTAAGTTGAATGTTGTATGCATTACAAAACAATGAAACGGTTTTATCATAGTATGAACATGTATTCACTCACTACTGTAAGTCGCTCTGGATGGGGGTGTGTGCTAAGTGACTAAAATGTCAATGTAAATAGAAAGCCTTTATTGGGAAATGAATCTGTTCGATTGTAGTCAGTGCCATGAAAAGTCATTTTCTATTTCACAGTAGCACACTGCTCGTTCTAAACATCATTTGTTTAGTGTTACTTTTCCCCAGTCAAATATTCAGGCTTACATTTCCACTTCAAGGCCGGAACACAACCTAAAACATATGATTTTGAATATAAGATTTCGTAAAACTGTTATTTTATGATGAACACTGAATGGTATTTCAAAAGGCTGCAAAGCCAATGTCTCCATTCCACATGTTGAAATAAGTATTCTTCCATATTACCTGCTTCCTAATGAAACCAACTAGGTTAGCCCTTTGAGCTAAAGCCTAGGACCACTGGCCATATTAGATTCCCTAAACCTGCTTTGTGCATTTTTTCATGTAAAAGCTATAAACATCTATATCTAACCTACATTTTATTAATGATGTAAAGGGCAGGTGCTCAGATGATACCTTCCAAATGGCACCCTATTCCCTACATGGTTCACTATGGGCCCTGGTCAAAAGTAGTGTACTATATAGAAAATAGGGTGCCATTTGGGATGTCGACATTATCATTGGCTTTAGTAATTCCCGTGACATACACTTTTTTCCTATCATCTCGCAAATCTCCGTTTTGGGCGAGACTGACTTTATGACCAAAGTTATCCTATTTACACTTTGTAGTCAATTCTGACACTAGAATAAATGTTTCTGACTCATATCGATGCCACACAGGCCATTTTCTAAAAGAGAAGTAACTTTTCAGGTGCAGTCGCGCTTTAATAACAGGAAGCATAGAAATAGCAGACATAGAACAGATCTACCGCTGTTCAGACTTGCTTTCAATGATAATTAAATATCTATAACTCATATTTCTACGTGAATTTGGTCAGGTCGCGCAAAAAGCTACGTAGCCAACTGCGTAGTATATTTTGTTTCAAAGCTATTTGAAAGGGGAAGTCTGTTAGACTCACTTGACGCCACACTTTCTAAATCATGGACAAACTGTCTGTCTTTTTATTTGTTCATTCATTTTACACCATTGTCAACGCAGGTAAGATGGACTTAACTTTCTCTCTAACTCATTTAATTATTTATTATGTCATAAAATGTAAAATGTCCATAACTGTGTACAGGGTTGGGGAGGAGCCTACGGGCTATACTGATATCACTTATTGATATCTAGGCTACATGGCGCATTGATGATGTGAATCACACTGCTGCTCTCTAATTTATTTGCGCTTTACGGATTGTGAAGGGAAAGGACATCTCTAGTCAATTGCACAACTGAATGCATTCAACTGAAATGTATCTTCTGTATTCCGATTTGTGAACAGCCATCCACAACAACCGCACCTCTCTGATTCAGATCTATATGCATATTTTAACCAAAATGGTTTAATTTAATTAGTTTAAACTGCCTATCAATCATTGTTTTTGCGACCAGGAGTGTATTCAATACGGAAACCGTGTACCGTTTAAGAACCAAACGGAAGCTAACAGAGAAAAACGAGAGTTTTTATTGGACAAATTCTTGAAGGTCCTTCCCGTTTCGCTCCGTTCCACTTTTTGCAACAGAATCGATGTAATGAATATACCCCAGTGGACAGCCAGTGAAAATGCGCTCTTGCAACAGCTGCGTAGCGCGGATCCCAGCCTATGGAATAAAAGTTTGAGTTCCTCTCTTCTAAACTATCCTGCCGTATTGTGCTCCATACGATCATAAACTAGTTTAATTTAAGAAGACCACGAGTGGGGCTTTTATTTTCTTCATGGAAAATTACAATTTTTCAACTCTAAGCAATGTGCCCAATCAGTCCTCCATGACAACAAAATAAAAATAACAGATTAGGCTAATTCGTGGGTTATGCTCAGGTAAAACAATTTGACTAATCTATGTTAACATTTTATCTTATCAAATGTCCATAATTGTGTATAATATCACTCCTCTCCCAGGTTCAGGATCACATTCTCTGTGGGTACTTGCAACATATATAAGCGGAGAGACGCCTTTCCCTGAGTTTACGGTTGTGGTGATGTTGGATGATGTTCAAGTGGCTTACTATGACTCCAACATGAATCACTTTATCTACAGGGGACAACATATCACAGACAAAATCGAGGATGATGAAGCTCAGGACGGCGCTCATGTATTTGGAGATATATACCAGACCATGAAAAACAGATTATTTAAACTAAAGCACCACTTTAATCTCACGGAAGGTGTTCAAGTTCAGCAAAAATTGGCTGGCTGTGAGATGTTGGACAATGGTGAACAGGCCTTTGTCATGTTTAAGGACACTTTCAATGGCATTTTTGCAGATTATGCGATGTATGATAACGTGACACATTTTGCATACGATGCTGGTAAACTACTACCAGGATGGGATGGGATGAGGAGGGCATATGAAAGAGTACTATTTGAGAATGTTCACTTTCCCATTTGCATCAGAACACTGAAGAGATTCCTGAAGAGAGAGAAGAATGTTGTGATGCGTAAAGTGCCTCCCAGACTCAGGTTGATAAAGAAAGAGGTTTCTGGAGGGCTCCAGGTGAGCTGCCTGGCGTTTGGTTTCTACCCCCGCCACATCAACCTGACCCTGCTGAGAGACGGCCAGCCAGTGGCAGAACAGGAGCTGACAGGGGGGCAGGTGCTCCCTAGTGGAGATGGGACCTACCAGCTGAGGAAGAGTCTGGAGGTCAGTACTGAGGAGCCAAAGAAGAGACACAACTACACCTGTACTGCCTCTCACCTCAGTCTGGACAACAAGCTGGATGTCAGTTGGGAGTCTGGGGCAGAGAGAGTACACCTATCCACCCTCTCAGCTCTACTGGTGATGGTGCTGATTGTTATTCTGTTGGGCATTTTCATTTGCGTCAAAAGGAGTAGATTCCTCCCAGTCTAAACTTGCCAACGTTGATGAAAAAGTGTCGGAGGAAATGAACCTTTCTTCAGATTCTGAGACCTAATATATTTTTGGGACACTGATGCAGCTTTGTCAATTCAGCTCCATTCACAATGAAAATATGACTGCCAGAGTACCTAATGAGGGCAGACACAAAATGTGCAAAATATTCTGTTATTGTCGGTCAATCTTCCCTTCCCTTCAACAAAGGACTGTAAATGATCAGTTTGGGTAGACTGTTGACAATAACAAATATCTGCGCATTATTAGTACAGATCTGAATTCATAAAATTGTATATGCTGGTTTGGCAACCTGAGCATTAAAAAAGGTAATATGGTAGTTATTTCTATTATGTAATCTGTAATTTATAATCATGACTATTCACTAATTGTACAATGCACTCTATATCTGTGCTGTATTAGCTGATAGCCAGTATCTTAACCAGAAGGAGAATCATGTGATCATGTGTATGAGGTCTGTTTATTATTGGAATGACTTTACAGTGTATCTGTTTTGTATTGTATGTAGTGTATGTTCATCCTACCTGCACAATAATACCCTTTATTACAGACAATAAAATGTAGCATAATCGATTAATGCATTGATTCATTTTAACTACGACATTAATTAAAGCAATGTCAAGTATACCTTAATTTCTCTCAGGAACTTGTTTATCACTGTGGAAGGGAGAGAAATCTGACACTATTTCACTCCAGTTTAAGACTGGCATGAGTATTCAACTAAAGTGAATGTTGTATGCATTATAAACAATTAAACAGTTTTATCATAGAATGCCTTTAGTAGAGAATGAATCTGTTCGATTGTAGTCAGTGTCATGAAAAGTTATTTTCTATTTTACAGTAGCACACCGCTCGTTCTAAACATCATTTGTTTAGTGTTACTTTTCCCCAGTCAAATATTCAGGCCTACATTTCCACTTCAAGGCTGGACCACAACATAAAACATAGCTTTTGAATATAAGATCTAGTTTAAATTAACTGTTATTTTGTATTGAACACTGAATGGAATGTCTCCATTCCACATTTAGAAATAAGTATCCTTCCATGTTACCTGCTTCCTAATGAAACCAGCTAGGTTCAAACCTAGTTCTCCTGCGCACCACGATACTGTGTTAGCCCTCTGAGCTAAATCCTAGAACCACTGGCGACATTCCTAAACCTGCTGTCTTGCTGCTATTTTACATATAAAACAAACATCAATATCTTATCTACATTTCATTACTGACATAAAGGGCATGTGTACAAAGGCTGTGCTCCAAATAGCACCCTATTCCCTACATAGTGCACTATGGGCCCTGGTTAAAAGTAGTGCACTATGTAGGGAATAGGGTGCCATTTGGGATGTAGCCATATTTACTGGCTTTAGTCAATTAAGTTCCCCAGGTCTGAACGCTCCAGTGTTTTACCTAAAGGAAGAAAAAAGGCTGAATTGTATTTGTCTTGGAGACTAATGCCTCATAAAGAGTAAATATCATTTGTCAATCTGAAATGAGTCAGAGTTAGTGCTGCCTTCCCTTTTCCAAATAAAGTATTGTTCATTGTGAAACTTGCCTGGTTGTCGTTCATCCTTCCTGAAATTGCACTGGGGCACAAAATAACCAACAATGTCCATATCTGACACACACACAGCCACACACACAAGCAGGGACGGACAGACTTGGAGGTCGGGGGCCCCCAAATAGCATGCGATAGCAAAAAGTGTAGAATTGTAGGAAATTAGCTTTAAAACTGCAACATTTGCTTTTAGTGTGTAGAATAGCATTATAAAATTGCTAACTCTTCTTTCTGCACCATGGCAAAATATGTTGAAATGTAGGAAGTTAGCTGACCCCCCCCCCCCCCCCCCCTTTGCCAGTTATTTGGATATAATAATATAATAATATGTCATTTAGCAGACGCTTTTATCCAAAGCGACTTACAGTCATGCGTGCATACATTTTTGTGTATGGGTGGTCCCGGGGATCGAACCCATCTCAATCCTGATACAATTCAGCTCAGTCTGGAAGCACAAATCACATTTGTTTTTGCTCTGAAGTGTTTGCACATGACCTGCCATTACCATGACAACCACCTCCAAAATGTTAAGGAACAGTGACAGGAAATTAGCATTGCATCTGTGTGCTACTTCAGAGGCTACATCATGAATGTGCAAATCTGATATGGGTCACATGTAAAACTGAGTGTGGACAGTCAGAAAAAAAGATTAGATATGGGGGGAAAAACAGAATTGGGTTCTTCAGGTGGTTGTGTAAACATAGCCATGGCAAATGCAATAAATCCATTTTTTATTTATATAAATAACGGCTTGCTAAAGTGCTCAAATTCAGCATTTTGACATACAGTGGGGAGAACAAGTATTTGATACACTGCCGATTTTGCAGGTTTTCCTACTTACAAAGCATGTAGAGGTCTGTAATTTTTATCATAGGTACACTTCAACTGTGAGAGACGGAATCTAAAACAAAAATCCAGAAAATCACATTGTATGATTTTTAAATAATTAATTTGCATTTTATTGTTATTTATAGTGGTCGGAGACTTGGAGGGGAGTTGCAGTGAGATTAGTAGAAGAACAGCATCTAGTAAAGATGAGGTCAAGCGTATTGCCTGCCTTGTGAGTAGGGGGAGACGGTGAGAGGGTGAGGTCAAAAGAGGAGAGGAGTGGAAAGATGGAGGCAGAGAGAAAAGGTAGACGTAGGGAGGTTAAAGCAATTCTGAATCTGACTATCATTGACCTACTACACCAGGTGTATTCGTTTCAGTTTTTTATTAAAGTAAGCTTATTAGCAAGATCCAAAAAGAAAGTCTTATTTGAGGTGTGAGAATTGTACCCATACACATTGCTTATAATAAAACAAGCATTATCTAGTTTGTAGATCAATATAACCCATCTCCCATCTTTGGACACACAAGACTCTGAAATATCACCTCTAAACTTATGACGCAATATCAATGGTACCAGCTGAGGGTTTAGACCTGTGACTATAATAAACAGTATTTCCCCATTGTGATTTCCAAAAACTACCATCTGAATCGCAGGAGTGAGTCTCTTGGAGTAGAATGAAATATGCATTAGTGTAAAAAAAAAAAAACATCCAACACGTAGTGCTTTGAAATCAAAACTTTGCCTAAACTGACAATAAAAAAAGAAGGAGTCTTCTCTGGAAAGTCTTCACGTGGGCTGCTTCGCTGCTAGCATCTGAGGTGATTAGCATAGATCTGTTCAGCCATGCCGTTTTCGGTTTCTTCTGCCCATGTATTCGTGTGATCACCGTGTTTTACAACCATCTTCTGTTACCTCATATAAGAAAGGGTAAATTTACCAACAATAAAAAATCTTCAAATCCTTGAGTATTTATCATAATCTTCCTGGTTTATCGGGACATATGTTCAAATACACCCACTCAAAGTGACACCATCTTGGTCTTGGTCCCCCGCCAGCGTTGTCAGGTCAAGTAAAAATGTATAGCCAGGCCAAGCTAAGATTTTTAGCCCAATGACAACTCAAAACCCACCCAAAAGGCCTGAAAACTAGCCCAATTAAGATAGAGAGGAGTTGCCAATACTATACAATAAACCATTTTTCCATAATGTTATCCAGCCAATTAAGAAGGAATATCATAGTAACTTGTAGCGACTTTAGAAGCAAAATGTGTGTTTCCTCAAAATAATAATTATTGCAAACTATGACATTGCTTAATCATAGCAGTCAAACAAATTAAATCGACATCCATTGATGGAACATGATCTGGCGAGTTTAATAAGGGCAAATTATATTTTCTCTTGCCACATAATAACATTCCTTTATTATGTCATAAGGCATCCCAAAGGGTATGGTATATGGCCAATATACCACGGCTAAGGGCTGTTCTTAAGCATGACGCAACGCGGAGTGCCTGGATACAGCGTTAGCTGTGGTATATTGGCCATATACCATACCCTTTGGGATGCCTTATGACATAATAACCACAACCCCCTGGGGTGCCTTATTGCTATTATAAACTGGTTACCACTGTAATTAGAACAGTAGAAAGTTATGTTTTGTCCCATGTAGCTCAGTTGGTAGAGCATGGCGCTTGCAACGCCAGGGTTGTGGGTTCGATTCCCACGGGGGGCCAGTATGAAAATGTATGCACTCACTAACTGTAAGTCGCTCTGGATAAGAGCGTCTGCTAAATGACTAAAATGTAAATGTAATACCCATGGTATATGGTCTGGTATATGGTCTGATATACCACAGCTTTCAGCCAATCAGCATTCAGGGCTCAAACTAGGTTTATAAATGTAAATATGCCCTTTGCGCATGTGCATAACTATAGATAAATCCGACAGGAGAGTTTGAGTGATGAAAGTTGGACAGAGGCTGTCGAAATCTCTGAGCAAGAAACACTTGGATGAACATAAACATTTTCTGGCCATTGTGCTGTTATTATGTGTCAGATGTTAAGACTACAAAATGTTATAAATGGCCCATTTGCGAAATTGACTTGTCATTTCAATATGCATAGGCTACAGACTAAAATCGGGGTCATGATTGTAATTAAGCTTTGCCATAGTTTGCTTAGCTAAAGGCAGGTAGCCTATAGCCCCTGATAGGCCTACATCTCATTTCAGATAGTCTACAGTAGCCTAGACAAGATGTAGGCTAGATTTAAACTGAACGATTTAACAGCTTGCTTAGTTCAAATTAACAGACTAATTTATTCATGAATAGCAAGGCGATTTCGCAAATAAGAAGTGCTTGTGTTTCCCAATAGCCTGCTGGAATAGGCTACTGAGGATGGGGTCATAATTTAAATAACTGAATTAAATATGCATAATATGTATATAAACTGAATATGCTTGTCAATAACAGCCAGTGTTTCTTAAAAAAAAAAAATGTTTTACCTGTAGCCTAATCTGACTACTGTTACCGTCAATCTAATGTGTTCATAACAACACAAGGCTACAACAACAAACTGAAGTCATAGGCTATTTAT